ACTGTCATAATTTTTGCTGTACAGAAAGACACTTGTTTTTTTTTTGGTATTTTTGAGACAGGGTCTCCCTGTAGCCCCCAGCTGATCTGGAACTCACTTTGTAGACCAGGCTGGCCTTGAATTCACAGAGATCCACCTGCCTCTGCCTCTGGAGTGCTGGGATTAAAGGTAGGTGCCACGAGGCCTGGCTAAAGGGCCCCTGCTTTATGCCACTGTGTGGTATCCCCTTCTTTTTCTTTCAGTTTGGAGGGTACAGAATAATCTTGGGAGAGGCAGAGTGATCTAGGGAATAAGCTAACGAAAGGCAAAGGAAGAAAAGGGCAGGTGGGGAAGGAGAGTCCTGGGCTGGCCTTGGGCAGGGGCAGACAGGCCGGGCAAGTTCTCCACCTGATCTGGGCTTCAGGAATGATGTCATCCATGACCACATAGACCATGGCACCAGCAGCAAAGGCCAGTGCATAGGGCAGGATGGGTTCAGCCAGCACCACAGCAAAGGCACCGAAGATCCCAGCCAAAGGTTCCACCATGCCACTGAGCTGTCCGTACCTAAGGAGGAGACAGAGACATGGACCAATGCAGGGAGAGCCAAGCAAACCTGCCACCTGCCTGGACTGCTGATCCAGCCCCAGAAAGCAGAAGTGTGCTGTGGGCATCTTGTCTGAACACAGCAGCATGAAAACATATCACGTTTTACAACCACCTCCTACTCCTTCCCCAGCTTCCTGTGAGAAAGTTATGAGAGATTCGCACCCCTTATTTCCTCTAGAGCTTTAAGTTACCTACATTGTCTTTTTACAATGACATTATTATTGGGGTATAATTTGCATACCGTGTGACACTATATATATATATATATATCTCCAGGGGGTTTTAGTATATTCACAAGGTTAGGCAAACAGCACCACTAAATGCCAACATTTTCAGGCATTAGCAGCCACGTTCTGGTTCTTCCTCCTCCAGCCCCTGGCACCACCAATCTCTCCCTTCCTTCCTTCTCTCTATGCATTTGCTGCTTCTGGGTATTTCCTGTACATAGAATCATAGATGAGTCACGAGGGGGGCTGTCTTGGTTCACTTAGCATAATGTTTTCAAGGTGGATCCTTGTTGTAGGGGTACTGTGTGTGAATGTGTGCACCCATGTGTGAGGAGGCCAGAGGAGGGTGCTGGGTGTGAATGTGTGCGCCCGCGTGTGAGGAGGCCAGAGGAGGGTGCTGGGTGTGAATGTGTGCGCCCGCGTATGAGGAGGCCAGAGGAGGGTGCTGGGTGTGAATGTGTGTGCCCGCGTGTGAGGAGGCCAGAGGAGGGTGCTGGGTGTGAATGTGTGCGCCCGCGTGTGAGGAGGCCAGAGGAGGGTGCTAGGTGTCCTGCTCTAGTGTACTGCACCTTATTCCCTTGACACTGGTCTCACGAACCTGGAGCAGCCAGCAAGCCTCAGAAATCCTCCTGTCTCCACTCCTATACAGCGCTGTGGTTACAGGCATACACGGACACACATGGCTTTTCATGTGGGTGCTGAGGATTCAAACTCAGGTCCTCTTGCTTGCACAGAGAGTCTCCTACCCCCTTAGCCATCATCCCAGTCCACCCTTCTAAGGATGTAGGGCTGCAGGACAAGCTATCTATTTGTTCATCCTTGATGCCTATGTTGAGTGACAGGACACTGATTAGAGGTGGTCTGGGTGTTTCCCAAAAGACAGTTGTAGTTGTTTGCATGTTTAGGGGTTTAGGCTGTAACTTTACCCCTTCTGAGGCAAAGTGGGTCTACCTGGCCTTTTGTGCATTGACAGCTTGTTCTCTACCTCTTGCCATCTCTTGAACTGTTATCTAGGATTAAGGTGAGATGCCTCCTTTTAAGGACCTCCTTTACTTGAGCTAGGGAGAAAGGGCCTCCACCACTTGGAATCAAATGAGCTCTAATCTAAAAGGCAGCACACATGAGCATTGAAAATTTCAATGGCAAGAGAGAAGTCAGGGCCTCACAGGCAGAAGCCAGCTACTATGGGGACAATGTCAACAGGAAAGGGGTACTATGGGGACAATGTCAACAGGAAAGGGGTAAAGTCTTCTTTCTTGCAACAGGTGCTTTGGTAAGATACAGGTTCTGAGCCTCAGTCCTTCCATCTTTACAATGGGGATGAGGGATGTCTTCCACACCCAGCTTCCCAAGATAGGAGGGCAACCTGTACAAACTGTGAGCGTCTAATCCCTCTCTGCCTCGCTGGCTAGAGGCAGGAGCAGGCATGGGAGAGACCCCATTTTTGCTGTGGAATTTTATACTGGCGCTGTTGAGTGCTGGCTCCCCGTGCCTTCATGCACAGACCAGCAGAACTGGCAACCCTTTGGTCTGTGCAGTTCCTGGCCATGGCTTTGTCATCTCCAGAAAATGTAGCCCAGACTGGAGTGTGAGAAAGAGAAAAAAGCTTCATCTTATGACCTGGAGAGGCTCTACCTCTTTCCTTCCTTTTTCCCCTGGTGCCTCAACTGCTTGAAATGACAGCTGTGGCTTTTGCAGGTTATGAATGTCTCTTAGGCACCCAGCGCCCTCCTCTCCCAAATCCTCTATTTGGTAGACTTAACAATGGAGAAAGAGATTTGTAGAGGGTGGAAACAGGATCGTTTAAGTATGTGTATGAACTTGCAAGTCACAAGGCCTTATACAAAGGAAGGCATTTGCGCATTATCATTATGAGCAATTCTTCCAAGTACTCTGACCTTATATTGTAGAGCAGCCATTGTGTTAACAAAGGAGTGTGTAAGGCTTGAGATTTGAGTGAAGGACAGATGAGCAAGGCTATTGTGATGACTCTTGGGCCCAGGTGGTGGAAACATGACTGTCACCTGAGGCTCATGCAACATCTAGAGTATGGATATCAGGGTAAGTACCTAGAGTCGATGGGGCATGGGCTGCTATCCACAGAAGAGCTCTGAAATGGGACACAGCCATGTAGGCTGGTGGTGTACAGTTCAAAGCTCAGATGAGGTTATTTCTTGAAGATCCCTTTGGAGGTGCAATATTCATACACGTTCTTGATGTTCTTCCAGAAGCCCCACGTTGGTTTCCAACCTGAGCCTATCCTTGCAGAAGGGAGCTTAACCAAATCACACAGAGAAATTCATTGGCCACATGACCCTCCTCTGACCTGATGGTCTGGTGCACTCACCAGAAAGCTCGCCAGGTAGAAAAGCCTGCTCCCCTCAAGGGTAGGCTGACAGCCAGGCCTTCTGGGAAATTCTGGATCCCAATTCCAATAGCCAGATTCCTGAAAAACCAAGAAGGCATGAATCCTAGTTAGTTTTGATTACCAACTTGAAATAGTCTCGATTCACTGCAGAGAGGAACAGCCTAGATCAGACTGGCCCATGAGCATATCTGTAAGGGACTGCTTTGATTGTTGGTTGATATTACAGGGCTCAGCCCACTGTAGGCAGCACCATCCCTATGCAAGTTGATCTGGGCCATACAAGAAAGCTAGCTGAGCATGAGCCTGCAAGTGAGCCACCAAGCAGCCTTCCTCCATGGTTTCTGCTTCAAGCTCCTGCCCATGATGGACTGTAACCCATATGCCAAAATAAACCTTTTCCTCCCCTAAGTTCCTTTAGGTCAGAGTGTTTTATCATAGCAACAGAATGGAAATTATAACAGCCTATGAAAGCTCTTGTCTGGAGCTATGAACCATCCAGAGGGGCCCCGCCAAGGGAACCTCCTTTGGTGCCAGGAAGCCAGGTGGGGAAGTGTGAGAGATAAAGGTAGGAAGAAGGCTAGGCCCACATGTAGGTGAAGTCATAGCAGGGAGTCAGTCTCATCTTCTCTACCTTCCTGTGCTGGGTGTCTGGTCATGGTCTATCTTTAGGATGTACAGTAAAGAACCTGGTGGCTGCGGGCCAGGATGGCCCAAGTTCTGCCACATTGCTGTATAAATCTATCATTGCACTTTATACCTCTGTGTCTACTGCACAGCATGGGGATGATGCTGTCCACCTCAAGGGATCGCTGTGTGATCCAATAACTTAACACTGCCTGTAGAGTCCCTACCACAGAGGAGACACCCGATGCATTTGAGTTTCTGTTTCCTATAGCACAGAGATGGGTGTGTCTCATCTTATTCAGGAACAATTTTAGAAACAGTACAAGAAAGTAAAGACACAGACTCAAGGTGACACAGATGTGACTCCAGGCTCAGGTTTCCCATGGACTCTTGGCGTGGGTCTGGCACTGGTTGTTGTATTTCCCTGGTGCTCACTGTGAACCTCTGGCCTCCTGCATCTGCAGGACACTGGGGCGGGGGGGAGGTGCTGGGCTATGTTGTGCACAAGCCAAAGACTACAGTGCAGTGAGGGAGAATCAGAATGAGGTAAGCACACAGGCAGTACACGACTTGTCAAGGGAGACAAGGCACAGATCAGATTATAAATCACAATGCATATACACAAAGACCCTCATCATGTATACTGCACATGTTACATGGCAACTTGAAGAGGAAGGAGAGATGCAGCAGGAGGCAGTGAGGCTAGTCTGAGGACAATGGAAAGGCAGTTGAGACTGTCTCCCTCGAGAAGACTCTACCTTTGCTGGACAGGTACAAGGGTCAGCCCTCCATGAGGACTCTTCTGATAACAGAGCCTCCAAGGGAAGAAGCTATCAGTGATGAGTAACACTGGCCTGTGGCCTGAAGGAGTTGTGGGAGAACTAGATAGAAAAGGGAAACTTGCCTGTCATTTGGCTTTCTGATCAAGTGGTTCATGTCTGCCCACCTTGTTGCCAATAGAAATGTGCCCATCAGCTCTGGAAAGAGGCAAGGGAGGGCTTCAGACCAGCAGCTGTGCCTTACACTGTTCTCACTGGCCACCCGAATCTTGGTCCTAGGCTCCTAGGATCAGAACACATTTGTTGCCTTGAAAGCCCAACAGGCCAGCTCAGGTCATGGCCCTCTAGTCTGGCCTTGAGAAAAACCCACCAAGTATAATCCTCAGTATGAAATATAAAATCCCCATTTTGTCTGAGTGCTTCATCTTATCCTGTGCTTGCCTTTATCCACCCCGACCCAGCATGCATACATATCTTCTGTGGGGCTCAATGCTCCTCCAACCCTTGGGCCAGTTCAAGGAAACACTTAGAAGAAGACTGACTTTACCAGAATCTTGAACTTGTAAAAATCTAGGCATATAGTTCATTTAGTTAACTCTTAGTCTATCCCTTATTGACAGTTTTATGTCTGCCTTCAATATCTACTTATGAGCTGAACAAAATCATAGTGTCTAAAAATTATTATTAGTTATGTTAAAGGGAGACTATTACAATGCTTTACATTAGCAGAGTCATTTAGGCCATCTCCCCAAACTGCAGATAAGACTGTAACATGGAGTGAACGAACGAGACACTCCTATCCTGCCACCCTGGGGCAGCCCACTAGAGCCCAGTTCCATTGCTGACTACCTGCTGCTCCCTTCACAAGTCTGCCAAATCTCCACCCATGTTCTCCAAGGGAGCTCAGACACGCTTTAACCTCATCCCACAATCTGAGGGGCCGCAAATTTTGTTTTGTAAAGGAAGGCCTAGACAATAAATATTTTGTTTTGCAGGCAATTGGGTTTCAGTTGCAACTATCCTATGAGCAAATTATAATACCAACCTGCTAGGCAAGATGTGCCCACTGGTGCAATAGTGGTGCAATTGTTATGGGGTAACCAATTACTCTCTAAGTAGACTTGAAACCTGCTCCACAGAAGATGAATTCATGCCTGGTACTGTAAATCCAGTCAAAATCCATGGCTAAGGAGGTCTGAGGCCCCAAGGGGAACCTTGCTGTTTAGCTAAACTGACATGGTGCCAAAATGTCTTCTAAATATTTATATAATTTATACCCATAGACAAATGCTATTCACACCTTAATCAGAGACATTCCTTTTGACAAAGAATGGGAGTGAATGCCAAAGTGTTGAGAATAACTGACTACTGAGTGCTTAGTCCTACACAGGATGTTTGTTGCACTCCCTCTAAAGCATTGGGAAGCTTGCAGAAGAGGGGACAGAAAGAATGTAAGAACTGGGAGAGGGAGAAGGGCTGAGACATGCTGACTGCTGGGCATGACACAGCCAGTGCCCTGAGCAACTCACACCAACTGTGCTTGCCTTTACTGGGTCTGTCCACAGTCAGTCATGGATTAGGGAAGAGCTCTTGGGCCCTACCTCCCCCCACCCCACTGCTGAGCTATTGGCTATTGATAGATTTCGGGGTTTGGGGGAGCAGTTATTGTTTTCAGTTGTGAGTCCACTGGTCTCTAATGGATAGTTCCAAACCCAAGATCACACAGACAGCCCTAAATTCAGTTGGTCACAAAACAAAACAAAAAGATATGAATGTGGGAGAGTGACTTGCAGTGAGGAGGAGGGATGGACGGTGATGGAGGGAGGTGAGAGAGGGTTGGGGGGTGAGAATAATCAGAATGCATTATATACCTTATGAAATTGTCAAAACATCATAAACATTAATTTTTAAAAACTCACCTCTACCATTACAGTGGGGGAAACTGCCACAGACAATACGTAAACAATTGAGTGACTGTATTCCAGTAACATGTTATTTACAAGAACAGGTGGAGGGCAGGATTAAGCCCATGGGTTATACTTTACTGACCTCACCCTAGCAATTCAGTGGCAGCAGAAACAAAGGTCTGGCGAAATGGAGACCCAGACCCTGTCTGTACCCAGTCCCTCCTTGGAGCCTCAGAGCTCTGCATGTAGTAGTTGATGTTTTGAGATTTCTTGTGTCCAAATCCTGGATCCATGGAGGCTTCCACCAATATTTCAGAGAAAAGCCTACGAGCCCAGACAGAAGTTGGCTGTAGGGTCAGATCCCAGTAGAGACTCTACTGGGATAATGCCTAGTAGAGCCATGGGGATGGTGTCATGGTAAGAACCCTGGAAGGACAGAGCTGCCAGCAGAATGCCCTGTCAACATCAAGTCACCAGTCAGAGCTACCACATGGCTTTGCTAAGCTACAGAGGTAGGATTTAGAGGTCTTATGGGCTCATCCCTCGCTGCGTGTATAAAGGATGCCAGACGTCAAGCCTTAGGATCTAATGCCTGTCCTGCTGGGTTTCAGTCTCGTTATGGGCTGATACCACTCTCTGTTTCCTCATATCTTCCTTTCAGAATAGAAGTGTTTACCCTACTCCTGACCCAGTACTGTATCTTGGAAGAAGAAAACTTGTTTTATTCATTATTGCTTTATATTTACAGAAGCTCACAGCTGAAAGAGTTTGCCTTGACTGTCAGAAGAGACTTGAACTTTTGAGCGATGCAGGAACAAATAAAGACTTTGGAGCTATCTCAGGATGACTATTATTCTTGGTTAGCTGCTCCCTTCCACATACTGACTATGAAATCTGAAGACCAACCTTCCTTGCCCCTTTCCCTTTGATCCTCCTGTGATCACTGGAAGGGACAGAAGAGGTAGAAATCAATGGGATTTGGGTCTTTTGCGAAAGCTCACAGGTCCTCTTTCCAACACAGGCGAAGGATATCGCCCCCCCCCCCACCAGAAAGCAAAGCTCACTCCTCTGCAAAGCCCTGCTGCAAACAGGCCCATTTGGCTGACTTGCATGTGGCCTATCTGGGCTGGAATTCCAATCAACACAATACCTATTGACTCCTACCCACAGTTCCATGAGACTTTTACCTCCCTTGTGAGATTTGATGCTAACCACTGGGCAAAGTAAAGGTCTTTCTCATACTGAGATCCTTGTGTGCTGTTTGTCTCTCTGAGCCACACAGAAAGTCCCAGGAGGCATGGACCCTGAGATAACATCCTCTCTTGGGTCACCTCTATAGTCTGAACCTGCAGAGCCCCAGTACCTCCAGCATGAAAAGCAGAGAGCAGTCCTGGCAGTGAGTAGGGGCACTTTGGTGAGCTGGGGCTCTATTAGTCTGATGTGCTCATGGATAAAATGCCCCAGGGTTCCCTCTGAGTGACCCTTCAGATACTGTCCTAAGTAAATGAGGACAATCTTACTCTGCAGAAGTACTAGGTGAAGACTGGTCTGGAAGTCAACTACGGCTTCCTCATCGTCAACCAGGGTGAGGATGTGGTTGAGCCCACTTCTGTATCCAGGTCTTCCCCATCTGTCCATTTTAATAGGAGTGATTTAAAAAGTAGGAAAAATTAGGACCTAAAAAGCAATCTAGAGACTTTGTGGGAAAGGGTGTTTTGTTCTTTGCTTTAGAAGTACGCATGTGCATGAAGTGGTGACCTGTGTTGTT